GGCCCCAAGAGCACCCAGGGGGCCCCAACCAAGAGGGGTCCCAGAGGGCTCCCAGACGGCCCCAGGAGCACCCCCGAGCGCCCGAAAGCAGCAGCCAAAGATGGCGACTTGTCGGCCTCCAGGGTGGCAAGGCTGATAAGGGACTCCCGTTCTTTGACTGATGTCGTCCAAGGCGGCCCTCACAGTGCCCCAAGAGACCCCAAAGAGGGCCCCCATGTAGCCAGAGGCCTTCATATTGCCCTATGAAGGCGCCAATGTGGCCGAAGCAGGCTGCCAGAAGGCTCCCATATCGAAAGATCAGCAAAGGCGTGAATGGCTTACTCCTGGGTCTGCCCAGGCTGATCCAGAGCTTCGGTGTGACGGCTACCCCCCTCTTCGTTCTACTGCTTGCTTCCAGACTTCCCCGATCAATGCAACTCGCCCGGATATTGTTTCTGGGTGGGCTGCTAGTGATACGCAAAGCCCTAGAAATTCTGATGCACTTTGCCCAAACTCGATCATGCAGTGGATGCCGATCCAACCATGGATACCTGAAGTCACGTGCGAGGGGGTGCCCCTTCGTTGTGCCAATGCACCTCGCCCTGAGGCGTCTTCAGAAGGTCGTGACAACAACGGCAAGTTTGGTTGCCATGGAAGGAGTGTCCCGCTAATCACGCCTGCATCTCCCTCCAGACGATGGAACGAGGGGGGCGGATATTAGGGGTGGAGCAAAGACGAGGAAGAGAAGGAGGCGGAGGAAAACGAGAAATCCGCCGACCCTGTCGGCGTGTGTGAGTGGCTTCTCCGTTCGACTCGTCGTCTCCGTCGTCTCCGTTCTCCCCCTCCCAGGGTTCTCCTCCTCAAGCGCGCTATCCAAAGCGAAATTAAACGACGTCGTAGTGGAGTCGAAGGGAAGCCCCTTCCCTTTGATCCCTTCCCCGCAGGGGGGGGGGAGGGGGGGGGGCCCGGGGCAGATACGACGCCCGCCGGGGCGCACTTTCCTCGAGCGGGCACGCACGGGATGCACTTCCTCCTCCTCCTCCTCCTCCTGGTCCTCCTCCTCCTCCTCCTTTTCTTCCTCCTCCTCCTCCTCCTCCTGCTCCTCTCCTCCTTCTCCTCCTCCTCCTGCTCCTCTCCTCCTTCTCCTCCTCCTCCTCCTCCTCCTCCTCCCGCAGAGGCGTCCCGGGAGCGGGCCCCGAGTCAAAATACAACCCCCCTAGGGCGCATTTTCCTCGAGCGGGCACGCCCGAGATGCACTACTTCCTCTTCCGGGAGCACGTCCCAAGTCAGAATATCACACTCCCGGGCGCACTTTCTTCGAGCGGGTACACAAAGGATGCACTGCCTCCTCCTCCTCCTCCTCCTCCTCCTCTCCTCCTCCTCCTCTCCTCCTCCTCCTCCTCCTCCTCCTGCTCCTCCTCCTTCTCCTCCTCCTCCTCCTCCTCCTCCTCCTCCTCCTCCTCCTCCGCTTCCTCCCCCCACTCCTAGCCCTTTCGGTCAGGGTCGGCGGCACCGGCCGTCAGGCCTCTCCAATATCACGAGGAGACGGCCGTATCAACAGGAGTGGGGAAGAGGAGGGAGACAAATTGTTTGTTGTCCGCACCCCTTCCTCCACCTGCTCCATCCCTCCCCATCCAGAACTTGACAACCCCAACCGACCCCCAGACTCTGCTCCGTGACCCAACCATCCGGGTGACAGGAGGCGGGGGGGGAGCAGAAGCGAAGGGAGACTCTGGAGCGTCCTGGGGCCTCTCTGGGCGCACTCTTGGGCCACCCCTGGGGGGGCCGCGGCCGCCCCGCAGGGCAGGACAACGTCTGCCTCCCCTCGCAAAAGCCGCGGCCCGGGCACCAGGCCCCGGGCCAGGCCTGGTGCCCACCAGGGCCAGGCGCGTCGCCCCGAGGCCCCGAGCCCACCACTATAGTGTGATGCTGCTCCCAGCGTACTTTGTAAGTCGGGCGTGTCCCCCATACGAGGGGATTTTCGACGAGAAATAAAAAAATACCCGCAAAATGCACCAAAAAGGTCAAACATACTTCAAAAATAGTCCCCAGACTAGGTTGGGTGTATTTTTTATTTTTCGTCGAAAACCGCCCTGTAGGGGGACACGCCCGACTTGATCGTACTTGAGGACCACGTCCAAGAAAGAATTTCCAGCACCCAGAAAAGTATCGAAGCAGTGCCGAACGAGCAGCGCCTCCCCGGGCCCGAGACGTGACAACCCTTCAGTTTCGGTGCGTTCTTGGTCCTCGAGATGCTTTGTGGTGATCAAGGCTAAAGTCGGTTGGACCATCATAACACTAGAGGGGTGCGTCGCCATGAGCCAAATATATTTCTCAGCAGCCGGGTGGAAGGGAACAGGCCACTCAGGTGCTGGTGAAAGGGCTTCCGCCCCCCCTCCTGCCCAGTCCTCCGATGCCATGATTTTTCCATGACGTGGCTGGCAAACCTCCCGACACTCCCCCTGGAGAAATTGTCCATCACGGATCGTTGCCCGGAGCCCGCAAACGGCATCCGGGCGTCTGCAATTATGGCAAGCAATTGACAAGCCCTCCTCTGCTTCATTCGTGGTTGATGTCTGGGTGTCTCCCGACCCCTCTAGGGGAGGGCACCAACAGTGCGATTGGCTCCAGCAGCAACAGCGCCGTGGCGCCGTGACATTGGTACTTTATTTCCCTCCCGACTGAGGGGCAACGACAGGGGGGGACTGGCATATGGGCAGATGGGGGGGACGCATCGACCCGGAATTGGCGATTTGCATCGCTGGTAGATCGGCGGCTGGCCCCCGATCGTGAATCCGCGCTTTCCTCGGCAAGCTGAGGTTATCGGGCTCCTCTCGGCGATCAATGGGCGATTGGTCGATGCATCCCCCCCTGTGCCTATCCCCCCCCCTGCCGTGGTCCCTGACCGATGCTCCCCCTTTCCTGCAGCGATCGCCCTGGCCCGATGTGCTCCACCACACCGGGGGGGCAGCCCGGGGAAAAGGCGGGGGGGGGCGGAGGGGCAGCACGCCGCACCGCCTGTCGCCCGCGCTCTTCCCGCGACTTGTGGCCCTACTGCTGCTGCTGCGGCTGCGGCTGCTGCTGCGGCTGCTGCTGCTGCTGTCAGAACGCGCAGGAGGGGGGGCAGGACCCAGACCTCCGACGCCGCTGCTGTTGAGTACCTGCGCATTTCTCATGCTGTTCGCCTCGGGGGCCGAAGTGGCTCCACCGCACTCGGGGCAGCCCGGGGGAAGGGGGGGGGGCAGCACGCTGCACCGTGGCACGCCGCACCGCACCGCCCCGCGTTTTTTTTTTTTTTGTTCCGGCGGCCTGTCGCCCGCCGTTGCTGCTGCTGCTGCTGCTGCTGCTGCTGCTGCTGTCGGAACGCGCTGGAGGGGGGGGCGCGCCCCCCCCCGAAATCAAACGCAGGCTTTGACCGCGACGTGGCGGCGCCCCTGGGCCCCCCAAATCTCCATGCTCGCGCCGAAGTGTGGCGACTGCAAACGCAACAATCTGGCCCAGTGGGCCGCGTTTCGCGCGTCGATCAACATTAAAAACTTGCGCTTGATGTCGAGGAGGGTTGCAGGACCCAGACCCCCAACGCCGTTTTTGTTTAGCACCTGCGTACGCATTGTTCCATGAAGTTCGCCTCGGGCTTGCCCGTGTTTTCCAGCGCCGTGGGCATCAACAAAACGAGCCGGCACTGCAGACTGGCGCCCGGGGAAGGTGTCGAGAGCACTGAAGCCCAAGGATTTTGGAAGACCAGCAACAAAAATCTTTGGGCCTTGGGAGAGCAGCGGCGGCAGCGGCAGCGAAGGAGGGAGGCAGATGACAGCTGCCCAGGATGCTGGAAGACGCCCCGGACGTCCCAGGCCCCGTCCTCACAAGTCACTGCAGGCCTTCCTGTTTCCCTGCGCGAGGCGCCCCGTCGAAAGACACGGCGCCATGAGCCCGCCGTGCAGGTGGGAGCTCCGTTTTGAGGCGAAGCTGCCTTCCATCCTTCGAGCGTCCAGGAATGCGTCCAGGTGGGGTCACGAAGTGCAGAAAAGGGCCCAACGACAGCGCCGTTTTGAGAAGGAGTCGCCCTTTCATCCGCGTAGCTATTGCACAATTCTGGACGCTTGGCCATAAGCTCTGAACGCACAATTCTGGACGCTTGGCCATAAGCTCTGAACAAGGCTCAAGCGAGAGTCACGTTCTGAACACTAGCCGCCCTCCGCCCGTGTAGCAGTTGTCTTGCTTGTTGATTCGAGCGTTGCATGAAGAAACTTCCAGCGCGAACCGAATGCTTAAAGCGGTCCGCCGTCAATCCATGCGACTACTGGATTTGTTCAGACGGGCCTGCTTTGAAAACGGCCCGCCTTACATCCGCATATCGGCTAGGACTGCCAGAATTCCAGATTGTAAGCGGTGGACAAATCTCAGGCGAAACTCACGGGCCGCCCTCACGACACGCCTGGTGGTAAGACGGGGACAAATTACTTAGCCATAAAAAGACGGACAAGAAGGAGGAGGAGGAGGAGGATAAGGAGGATGAAAGGAAGGATGATATTGATGATGATGCTGATGATTCTGATGATGATGATGATGATGGTGATGATGATGATGATGATGATGATGATGATGATGATGATGATGATGATGATGATGATGATGATGATGATGATGATACTGATACTGATGACGATGGTGATGGTGATGTTGGTGATAATGATGACAATGATGATGATGAAGGTGATAACGATGCGGATTATGATGACGATGATGATGAAGAGGCTGAGGATGAGGAGCAGGAGAAGGATGGGGAGGAAGAGGAGGAAGAGGAGGATTGGGAAGAGGGGCCGGAGCAGGAGGAGGAGGAGGAGGAACGATGAGGGTCGAGGAGACGGAGGAGGAGGAGGAGGAGGAGAAGGAGGAGGAGGAGGAGGAGGAGGAGAGTGAGGGGGAGGGAGAGGGGGAGGGAGGCGAGGAGGACGAGGAGGAGGAAAAGGACGAGGGTGAGGGAAGGAGGGAGGAAGGGAGGAGCGATATCCGCGAGAGAATCACTCGCTCGCGCTCGCCCTCCCGTGGCTCGTCCGCGCGCCCGCCCCCGCGGCCGCGCTCCCCGAGGCCGCGGTCGCGCTCCCGACCGCCGCCTGCTTGAGGCAGAACTCCTTGCCGGCCCCCCACATTGCCCTCGCTCGGATGTCCACTCCACGTACGTGCTCCGATGTCGTGCGTGTGTTTCTTTCCTCGCAAGATGCTCCAAGAGCCTCCTCGATGGCCCTGGCTGAAAAAACACACACGTCCGAGCGAAGCTGAGCCCCCCTGGTCCCGACTGAGGGGCAACGACAGGGGGGAGACTGGTATAGGGAGGGACTCATCGACATGGAATTGGCGATACATCGCAGATGAATATATATATATATATACACACACACACGGATACGTAAATGATATCGGCGATAGGTCCCGATCGTGAATCCGCAAGTTCCTGGGCAGGCTGGGGCCGTCGGGCCCCTATCGGCGATTGATGGGCGATTGGGGGTCGATGCATCCCCCCCCCCTATGCCTATCCCCCCCCTGCCGTTGCCCCCGGAGTGTCAGCGCCACCGCGTGGCTGTCCCCCCGAGGCCCTTCGATACGACGCGGGCGGCGCGACACGGGCCGACACACGCTGCGCGCTATCGGCGGAGCCGAGCGGGGTAGCACACGCCCGGGCCAGCACGCGTCCCGGGGATCATGGAGGGAGGTTCGGCGACGACGCCGCCGCCGACGACAACGACGCCACCACGGCGAAGACTGCTCGGAGATCTCCTGGCCCGGGTCAATCTACACCCGGGTCAGTCAGGCCGTGCAGCATCCTGCAGGATCCTGCGCCATCCTGCACCCAGACCCGAGTCTGTGCAGCCCTGGCTCCGCAGGAGCCTGCAATATCCGGCGCTCCGACTGACCCCTGTTTGGATTGACCCCCGTCTCAAGGTTCCCGAACTGCGATGTCGCCGCCGCCGCCGCCGCCGCCCCCGTCGTCATCGTCGTCGTCGACGACGTCGTCGTCGTCGTGCTCGCCTTTGAAGTTTCATCAATTCGGCTTTGCCTACGGGGTTCGTACTGGGCGTTTCCCCAAATAGAATTTGGTTCAGGCTATCTGATTTGTCGTTAGAAGAACCTGTGGGCGTCACCCCCGAATTCAAAGGCGGCCCCCGGCGTTGATTGGTTCTCTGGTCTTGCTTCCCTTTAGGCGTTGCTCGGGTTACCCGGTCTTGTTCCTTGGGTTCCCCAGTCAGTCTTGGGTTCCCTGGTCTGGTTTCTTTCCTTCATTTCTCTGTGTCCCTGGTCTTGTTCCTCGGATTTCCTGGCCTTGTTCCCTGGGTTCCCTGGTCCGTGCAATGCCAAACAGTACAATGTTCTGAAGAACTTGTGCTCGCTAGGTCCAATTGGTGAGGGCAGCGCCAGCTTTCCTCAGATCTCCCGTGTTGGCTTCCCTTTTCTTGAGTTCCCTGGTCTTGGTTCCCCTCAGCATTCCTCGGATCCCCCGTCTTGGTTTGTTCTAGTCCTTCCGCAGATCCCCGGTGTGTCCCCGATCTTGGTTTCCTCCAGTCCTTCCTCGGATCCCCAGCCTTGGCTTCCCATATCCAGGCCATGCCAACCATGGCCAACAGTGCCAGGCAATGGCCAGCAATGGCAAGCAATGGCAAGCAATGCAAGCCAATACCAAGCAGTGAAAAGCAACGGAAAGCAATGCCAAGCATCGCTAATCAAATAATGACAAGCGAATCCAAGCGATGACAAGCAATGCACATCAATGCCCCCGAAATCCAAAACAATGCCTTGCTACACAAAGCAATGCCAGACAATGAACGCAAAGCGATGCCAAATAATACCAGGCAGTCCAAAGCAACGCCAAGAGACGTAAAGCAAAGCAACGCAACGCAAAGCAACGCAAACCAATGCAAAGCAATGCGAAGCACTGCCAAGGGACTCCAAGCAACACAAGGCTCAAGGAATTTCGCGTTACTTTCTTGAGGCGCTTGCCCTACTTGGGGTCGCGCCGGGATCATGTGAAATGCTGGTGGGTGCCACCCCCTAATTCGGAGGCGGGTCCAGGCGGTGCACGGTTTCATGGTCGTGTTTTTTTGAACGTTGCTCGGGTTCCCCTGTCTTGTTCCTTGGGTTCCCTGGTCTTTCCTCGGTTCCCCGATTTGGTTCTTTGCCTTCTTCTCGAATGGTGTGTTCTTGTTCCTAGGATTGTCGGGTCTTGTCCCGTGGGTTGCCTGGTCCGTGCAATGCCAAGCATTGCCACGCGCTGCCGAACAATATCAATGAATGCTGAACAATTCAAGGCAGTTCTCATCAACGCATTGCAATGCGATGCTTTTCATTGCGTTGCTCAGAACTACTCAAAAGGGAAAGCTTCAGAAGGTTCGAGACCCCGAATGTGGGTCGTTCAATTTCATGGTTATGTAACTGTGTGGTTGGTTCTTGCGCAGCCCATGCGAACTAGATCCCGCCCCACCACTTTTTCAAAACGTCAGCAGAGCGGCCAGCCTGCCCACGCGGTCAGGCAGTTCAGCGGCGGCCCTCCAAAGCATTGAGCTCTCCTCCACACTGGCCTATTCGGGCCCTGGGCGCCACGCATTCTCGAACAGTTGCTCGGGAGGCCTGCCTACCCGTCCTGGCTGGCGGAATTGAGGTTTACAGGGTGATGGCGGGGAGGACCGTCGATCTTCATCCCGTCTTGCTTATCGAAGCGTTTTGTCTTCATCCTACCAGCTGTGACCAGAATCGAGCAACGCAAAATATCATTCCGCTCAGGACTTCGGCAGTGCAGTTATACGCAGGGCACAACAACCGTGGACAAAAACAAAAAGCCCCCTAGAAAACCCCACCGCGTGTGCCCCCTTCCCGCGTCCACCGCGCCTCCCGTGCGTCTGTGCCCTCCCTCACCCCCCCCCCCCCGCGTGGTCCCTCCATGGAATCGGCTCCACAGCGGCCACGCACGCTCAGGGACGAAGCCAATCCCGCTCGGGCACCCTCACTGCGATCGGGGGTTGACATGGGCCCCTGTAGCAGAGCGGCATTGGGTGAGCAAACAGTGCGGGCGCAGCACCCTTGCGAGGACCGAGAATGGGCACTTCACGAAAAAATTTGGCAGGGCCGGGGGTCTGTCAACCTCCGAGCCGAAAGTGAAACCGGCTGTGGCTTTCTCTTGACTCCTGGACACAGGGCGATATGGCGCAGCCGCCGGCGCCCCAGCAAGGTGCCGACTTAGTCGGGCACCTTTGGCAGCTGCGCGATGCGGCGCGCAGCCAAGGAAGGCGAATTCGGCCTCGCTGCCCCCGGCGCAGCGCAGGTCCCCGAGGAGGATCAGTGCCTGCCGACGAGCCGGCAAGCGGTCTTGCCACCCCGGGAACGCGCCGCCCTTCATGGCCGCCGCGGCCTCGGCCGTGGCAGACTGGTGGGCGCCCGAGCTTTGCACCCAGCCCAAGGCCGGCGGCCCGATCTCCGGGGCAGAGGTCAAAGCTCCTCCGCGCCGCACGCCTCTGTTGCGCACGCGCCTCTGTTGCTCGCACGCAACTGCACGCCTGCTCGGTCGACCCCGGCTGGGCTGCGCCCTGCGTCCGGGGCCCTGCCTCCACAGAACACCGTTCCGTCGCCATGCCCCCATCTTCTCCTGGTCCTCCCCCTTGCTCCTCCCCCCTCTCTAACTCCGAGAACTCCTCCCCTTGCCCCTCACCTTCCCCCTCTAACTCCGAGAACTCCTCCCCATCCTCCCTCCCCCTTCTCCCCCGTGGGGTCGCTCCGACTGCGCGCCCAGCCGTGCAGTGCAGGAGCCCCCGACTCGCAAACGCAGAGACCACACAAGCATCACAGGGCTTGGGAGGCCAAGGAGATTCACACGTGATGCAGGGTTCTGTTGCTGCCTCTTCGCGTTGCCTCCCCACTGTTTCGACTCTGATTCCGATTCCGATTCCGACTCCGACCCCTCCCCCCTCCCACATCCCCCGAGTTCCAAAAGGGTCAGAAGCAAATACACACCTCCTCGCACCTCGAACCACCGCAGACCTCGGGCTTCGAGAGAAGGTTCGAGGCCTCACCGTCCCCTCGTTCCCCCTTCTCTACCCCCCCCTCCCTCTCCCCCTCCCCATTCACATGTCCCCCTCCGTTGCGCCTCCCCCTCCCACTCTTGGGAAAAAATCTAGGTCACCGTGCCCCCCACCTCCCCTTCGCAACCCCCCCCTCGTATTTTTCACTCCCCCCCCTCCCCGTTTCCGCTCCCCCCACCCCAACCCTTGCTTCTCCCCTCCCGCGTCCTTCTTCCATCCCCCGCTTGTCCCCCTGCTCCCCTGCTACGGCGGCCCTGCCCCCCTTCGCCCGTCCCGTCCGCCTCACCCTTCGAACAGGGGATGGGCTGCAGAGCTGATTTACTCCGAAATCGATTGTCTCGTTGACCTTACGCAAATACTTCCAGATGGTATCCCCTGTATGCACGAACCTGCTACGCATGTGTCGTGGATTCGACGAAACAAAAATCAATTCCACAACCGATTCTGCAATAACCAGAAGAATTCAAGTCTATGGTTAACCAATTCTGCAATCGATCCCCTGCGCGAAGCCTGCCCCTCCTTTCCTTCAGGTCCAGCGAGCTCTGGATCAGGCCCGCCACCTTGTCCGGCTCCTCGGTCTCGAAAAGCGCCACGGCGTCACTCAGAAGCCTCGCGGCACCCTCGTAGTCCTCCGCGAATGCCTTCATCTCGCCCGCCACCTTGTAGTACGCGCCCGCGTTGGAGTCCTCGGGGTGGCCGCCCGAACGAATGACCCCGTGTTCGCCCATGTCTCTCTGGACGGGACGGTGGGGGCCATGTCCAGCCCACGGAGGGCTCCTCGCGAGCTGCTCGGAGGGACGGCATGCCAGATGGCACCGCAGCAGACATCTGCGGGGGTGCGCTCATAGCTGTGAGCAACGGCCCCATCGCTGCCTTGCCAACATGCCACCCTGGCTTCAACCTGCTCTTCCTCTTTCTCCTCATCCAGCTCCTCCTCCTCCTCCTCCTCCTCCTCCTCGTCATCATCATCATCCTCATCCTCCTCCTCCTACTCCTCCTCCTCCTCCTCCTCATCATCATCATCATCCTCATCATCCTGACGTTTCTGGTGGCAGATGTGGCTGGGATGGCTTCGCTTCGCTACTGACAAGAAGGTATACATATGTAGTTGGTGCAAGGCTCGTCTCTGGGATCCTGATGATCTCGAGTTGCAGCGTAATTGCGTGATGTGTGGGAGCAGCTCGTGAACAGCCTAGTCCTCGAGCTGGTTTGTCTTCGTTTATGACCCTGGTGAAAGCAAATAGGCACCCGCGAGCTAGTTGCTTCCAGCTCGGTGCCCGATATGTGGTCTCGGATCTGGTTGGCCCTGGATCGTCGCAGCCCTGGTCGGGTCGAGGTCGTGTGGGCTAGGAGTCATTCGATGGTCCATCAGAGGGCCCGACTCACCATCGGATGCGAAGAATTGCTCCTGAATTGGTGTGCCGACTTTTTTGCGGGATGGGCAGCCGAGGAGTGAAGTCCCACTATCGAACAGGCAGGCTGAACTGACGGGGTATGTTGACCGCATCACCCGACTCCCTACCAGGCCACCCCAACCCGACCCGAAGACCCGAATTTCTGGTTGGGGGGGGGGGACGGGCTCCATACGTAGTCTTCAGTGTTCCACGACCCCGCCCCTCTGGAAACGGAAGGCACATCGGGGCATTCTTGTTGGGTCCGGGTGGTTTGTTGGGCGGTGAGGCATGTTGACCGCGTCACGCCTGCCACCTCGGATGGGTTGCTCGCTGTCCCTGAGAGGTTGTCCAAGCGAGCCCCCCGTCGTGTGCCCGACAGGCCTGGCAGCCCGCCTCCGCGCCCGATCCCTCTTCCCCCCTTTGTTGTGAGAGGTGGAATTGGAAACTGCAAGACATCAGAGGAAAGAGAACTATGCACATACACCGATTCTGGCCAGGCCCAACCCTGAGCCCAGAATCGGTGAATACGCCCTTTTACCTTGGCCAGGAAGGTATATGCACCGATCCTGGGTCAAGGATGGGCGTTGTCAGGATCGGATAGTTCTCTTCGCCCGAGATATACATTACCAGAGGCGGGCTGCGATTTTTTCCCCGGAATTGCTGGGGGTCGGAGACGACGTCGGGGTGGTGTGGTGTATGCTTGTTTCCCCGCTGTCCTGGGGAAGCAGCGAAAACTGTACACATCAGGATCCCGTATACACCAGGATCAAGTTTCCTGTTCCTGTGCGAGTTTCAGTGCGGGGCCGGAAAAAAAACGTCGGTGTATAAAGTTCGGCTCCTGATGACAGCAGGTTGCGGAGAGCTGGCCATGATCCTATTAAGTGCGGCACCGTCCGCCAGTCTCAGATTCGTGATGGCAAATCCACCCTGCGAGTTCCCCTACAAGTCTGGCCCCTCTTCTTGAGCCCCTTTTTTTTGCAAGCGCCATTCGTTTTCACGGTGTACTCGGTCTTTCAGCCATCCGGGACAAGAACTTCCTCTTCAAGTCTCGCCTCCTCCTCACAAGCTTCGGTTTTGATGCGCCACCCGGTCCCCAGAACTCTTGACGTCCCCGGGCACCTTCAGGGTCGTCCACCTCAAGCTGGGGTTCCTGCTGCTTGGACGCAACACGCATGTTCTCCCTCGGCACTCCCGCGGCGGCCGTCACGCTCTGACCGGGCTCCTTTTCCTCTCATCTCGCGGCCTCTTCTTTTTCGCTCCTGTGCTCCTGCTCGCCACCCTTTGCTAGGCGGCGAGCGCCGGGGGGGGAAGTGAGCAGGGGCGGGCCTGCTCAGAAGGCTCGGAAGTCCCCCGGCCTTCTGAGAAGTTCCCCAAGCCCTCCCCGAAGGCCAGGGACAACTCCTCGGGAGGCGCGGGGGCTTCCGAGCCCCGCCGTCTTCTGCGAGGGCCTTCTCCTTCTCACTTCCCCCCCCTCGCTCGCCGTCGACTTGCTGCCTGCCTTTGAGCAGGGACCGACCGTCCCGGCATTCCTATAGCCCTACCACGAAGTGTTCGTAGAACCCAAGAGTGTTCTAAGAGCAAAAACACGGCTCTAAGAACACCTTCCCGATGCGTTAAGCCAAGACAGACTCCGCCAGGAATGCTCCAAGAACATCTCCTGGAAACCACAAGAGGTTCTTAGAGCATTGCGCGGTGGGGCTCCAGGCGCGCCAGGACGCTCCGCCACTGCTTCGCAGAAGAGGCGCCCCGGGGGGGCCGAGGCCGGCGCGCCAGCGGGAGCGGCGTGGCGCGCACCCGGCGGGCAGAGAGCTCTCGTGCTCGCCATCGCTCGGACGCCCATTTCCCGTGCATTTTTGTCGGTCTCGTGCGTGTTTTTTGTTTTGTTTCCTCGATGGTCCAGGATCGTCCTCAAGGGTTCTCGCCGAGAAAAAAAGGCACACGTCCGAGCGATGCCAGGTCTGAGGGAGCTCGGAGGCAGGGGCTCTGCCGCGCGAGGGCGCGCGCGCGCGGGGGCCACTGGGGCCCGGCGTGGGGTCTGGCACGTCCTCCTACAGGCGGGCTCAGGAAGAAGCGCAGAAGAAACGCTCGAGCGGATATTCGAACATGGCCGACCAGAATCCCAACATCGTCCCGATGGCTATGCTTTGACGATGTCTGGATGCTTCTCCTGTGGAGGGGCATGCCCGACTTCGGCCCAGCAGGACGGACCGAAATGCGCAGGTCTGGCATGTCCTCCGACAGGCGGGTTCTGGAAGAAGCATCGAAGAAAGATTGAAGGGGCCCTGGGACACACAAATCAATACACACAAATAGCAGGGTTCCCCAAAGTTTCCCATAGTTTCTCGGTTTCTGCCTTCCCCCCCACTTCCCATAGTTTCCCATATTTTCCGGGGGATCGACGATGAATTGTGTCTGTGTTTTTTCTCCCCCTGAAATATTGAAGCAAATGCGCAAGCATGATCAACCATAATCCAAACATCGTCCCCAGGACTATGTTTTTGACGATGTCTAAACATGTTTCTCCTGTGGAGGGGCATGCCCGACTTCAGCCCAGCAGGACGGACCGAAATGCGCAGGTCTGGATGCCACATTCTCACAACTCGCCGAGAACAGGAAACGACGTGGCGTATACATTTCCGAACGACTCGATGGGATGAGTCTTGTGTCCTGGCTTGTTCGTGTGGCGGAGCTTACACTGAATTATGTGCCAAGGCGTTCAACAACGAATGCCCTGGCCACCCGCCGAACAATAATACCTTCGCAGCCCTCAGCTGCTTTAAGGCATGCCACCACCCCAAGAATGGGATGCACAACAAGCCCTGTGGCCCTCCCAACAAGAGATATGCTGATCCGCAAGGCGCCACGAAGCGTCGGGGGATCCAAGAACAGGTAGAAACGTTCAGACGACAAACATCATTCAGCCAAATGCGCTGGTCATCTAGAGGCCTCTTAGATGGCGTCGGAGTAGATGGGGTCGGAGGATCGCGGCGCATCGCCGATACATCGACGATGAGGGTGCCATCATCCTACCCTTCGGTCGGGCATGTCCTCCTACAGGCGTACTTTCGACGAAAAAACTAACCCCAAGATAATCAAACGAGCACGAAAAATCATCCCCTGACTATTTTTGGACTATTCTCGAATGTTCCTCCTGCAGAGGAACGTGTTCCACTTAATCCTGCTCCTCGTCTACACCCCCTCGTCTGGCCGCCACGCTCCCCGCGAGGAGCTCAGCCCCCGCTGCCCCGACGCTTCCCGCGAGGAGCCCAGGAAGGGCCCTGGCTGTGAGGCCGAAAACGGCGGCAGTCCTGCTATCCTTCCCCCATCCCTCCTTCCACCTCGTCCTCCCTCCTCCCTTCTCCCTCCTCCCTCCTCCCTCCTCGTCCTCCCTCCGCCTCCCTCCCTTCTCCCTCCTCCCTCCTCCCTCCTCGTCCTCCTCCCGCCTCGTCCTCCGCCTCGTCCTCCTCCCTCTCCTCCCTCTCCTCCCTCCTCCCTCCTCCACCCCTCCACGAGCATGATGCCGATGGGCGGATATCTTCTCCGGCGCCCGATGTTCCACGGGCCCAGTGGGTGCGTGCGTGGGCGCTCTCGTCGCGACCCCTCGCGGGCCGGGTGACCCCGTGGCGCCCATGGTGGAGTGCAGTCGGCTTCTGCTGTGCAGGCCCCCGCTGCAGGGCGAAGGGAGTGCAGGGTGGGGGGAGAAGGGGAAGAGGATGGAGGGGAGAGGGACAGGAGAGGAGAAGCGATGCGAAGAAGGAGGAGAGGAGATGAGAGAGGACAGGGGCGAGAGGGGAGGAGGCAGCAGGAAAGCGGGGGGGGAGGAGGGAGGGGAGGAGGGAACGGGACGTGAAGGGCCAACTCCGACAGGGCGAGGCGGAGGGGAGTCCCACTAGCCCTATAGGACGTACGGAAGTGGTTTAGGACGTGTCCTCTTGGAGCCCCCTTCCTCCTCTTAGGGAAGGATTTGCTCCTCCCCCTCCCCTCCCTCAGGGTCTGGACCCGGGGGGGGGGGGCGGCGACCGGTCAGATGGCCCAAGATGTCACAAGATGGCGTCAAGTCGGCCCCAGAAAGCCTAAGATGGCCTCCAAGATGCCTCAGTATAGCGCAAGATCACTCAATATAGCTTCCAACATACTTCAACATGCTCCAAGACCGCTCTATAGCACGGTTCCAGGTGGCCTCGGAGCCAAAAGGCCAAAATCCTTGCCACAGGCAGCTCCCTGGAAGCTCCCACGAGGCCGGAATCCTTGCCACAGGCAACTCCCAGGAAGCTCCCACGAGGCCAAAATCCACGCAACAACAAATGCAAGTCAATGAGTTTGAAAGTGTCGCCCGTTCGCTTCCGATGGCCTTCCCAGGCCTCAATATGGATCCAAGATTTCCTGGGGCCCGAGCCTCCCCCCATAGCGTCCCAAGAGTTCGTCAAGAGGCGATTTTTAGAGCCCTATATCCTCCTGGGTAATCCCTAGAATGCCTCCATGGCTTCCAAGAGGCCCCCCAAAACGCAAGGGGCCCCCTAAAACTTCAAAGAAGCCCCCCAAAAAGCCCCAAAAGGCAACCGACCCCCTCCCTCCCCAGCAAAACATGCGAAGCGACTCCGGAAGGCATCCACCAGGCCTCTAGCTCACTGAGTCCCCCGAGGTATCCACTTGATGCCACGCTCCAGCCTAGGCTTCGTTCATGGATGGGCGGATGTGGATACTTTTTTGGTCGGCGGGTCGGAAGCGGGCCCCTTCCGGTTAAGAGCTAGGCGGGGCGCGCGAAGCCCTAATTGGGGAGACAGGGCGCGGGCGGGCGGGGCCTCAGGCGGCCGGAGGGTGCAGAGAAAAGGCGGTGCCGAAGCTCTTGCACAGGAAATGGTACGCCATGGACAGGAGCCGGGGGCGAAGTCACGGATGTGGATACACGACACGTTCGAGATTGAGAAGCGCCCCGGTCAGGGTCCTGCTGCATGGCGCGCACCCTGCGCTCAGCAGTGTCTATCAAATTCGCGTAGCCGCGGAAGGCTGGGCGGTCGATCTCGCCGGTGGCCTGCATGGCCGCCATGTGAGCACTGAAGAGCAAGTTGTGCACCTGGCTAGAGTAGGGGGTGGTGCGCGGAGGACGGGGAAAGGGGGACAACGATGGGGAGCATGAGGGGGAGCAGGGAGAAGAGGATACGTAAGGAACGTGGGAGAAACTAAAAAAAGGCGAAGAGGATTATATGGACGATGAAAGGCTGATGGGGCCTCGGGAGAGAGAGGGTGGAGGGAAGAGGGGAAGGAGGAGGATGGAGGGAGAGAGGGGAGGGAGAGGGCGGAGGAGGAGCAGCGCCTCCATGACCGCCAGGAGGTCGAACGCGTCCTTCTGCGCCTCGAGCAGGTAGGATCGCGCAATCGTCTCCTGCGCCTCCTTGAGCCCCCCTGGTCACGGAAGGACGATACAGATGATGGTGGCGGTGACGGTGACGATGACGATGGATAGCGATGATGGTAATGATGATGGTGGCAAGGATGATGAGAATGATGATGATGATGATGATGATGACGACGATGATGATGATGATGATGATGATGATGATGATGATGATGATGATGATGATGATGATGATGATGATGATGATGATGCTGATTATGATGATGATGATGATGATGATGATGATGGTGGTGGTGGTGGTGGTGGTGGTGATGGTGACGATGATGGTGATGATCGTCTAATCATGCTGATGTCGATGCCCATGCCACCTGCGGGAAGCCAGGTGCTGACTGAACTAAGACACGCGGCTAACATCCCCAGGCGGCCCGCCAGAGCGCAACGTACATGATAACACTTGCACTTGCGCGCTCGCAGAGCTTCCTGGAGATGTCCGTGCTCCAACTTGTGGCAGGCCTCGAAAACTCTGAAGACCGGGCGGGGGTCTTTAGGCCGCTTGGCGCGGAGGCCAAGGCACTCGAACCTCCCAGCAGCCGCGGACGCCCAGCGTGGAGTACACAGCGGACCACAAAGGCAGGCAACCAGCACAGTGAGCCCAATCGCCCGTCGCTTCGCATCCAAGAAGACACTGGTTAACAACTCCCTCATGCATCCTCGCGCTGGTCGACCATCCGCCCATTCCAGTTTTTGGGACGAAGACGAGATGCGAATGCGAGTCTTCCTCGTCGTGGTAATGATGGAGCCGAAGCCGATGCCATGTATGTCGCTGATCTGCTCAGGCAAATTGCGGTGCAGACGGGCTTTGAGCAGATCGTGAACGCTAAGCTGGAACATCATCTCTCTAGCATCACGTATGCTCTTTTCTGCACACCCTGCTTCAAGCCTGGGTCCCTGGTGACCTCGTTGGCCATGGCCCTCTGGATATCTTTGGGTACGGGCAAAGACTGCTTGGAAGCAACACGCGCAAGTGTTCGTGCGATGGCCCGCGTCTTCCGAGGTGGAGCCCACGGCTCAGGGCGAACAGAGCAACGAGAGAACGGTCCAGAGCAGCAATACTTGCGGCTCGTCGACGCTCAGCCAACGGGGATTTCCACTCTGGTGAGGCGAGATCAGCGCGGCGACGCAGGCCAGAGAGACGCAGACGACGTCGACGGCGCCGAACTCGGAGGCTTGAGCCATCCCACGAGTGGTGATGGTTGTCGGCGGCACGTGCCAGAGCTTGTTGACGATGCCGTTCTCCACCTGCGCGAGAGCGCGCGGCGAGAGCCCAGATTGGGCGACGAACAGCACGGTCGGAACGACCTTGACGCTGTACTCCTCGAGCGTGGTGGTGTTGGAGCCCATGGCCATGGAGTATGCGTCGGCTCGCTGCTGCCACTGCCTCGTCGGGGCCTCCCACTCCTCGTCCGTGACTTGGGGCCCATGAGGTAATCCAGGTAGGCTGCAGCCGTTGCGACCGCGAGCTGGAGCCACTGGGGGACGATCCCCTGCAGCCGGTCACGGGCGGGCTCAATCATCCGGAGCGCGAACGAGGCGAAAAAGAGGGATTTCAGTCTTAGGCCGGATCATGTTCGCGTGCCGTTGGATGTGTTGGCGTGCTCCCTCAACGTGCCGATGTCGAGGATCGCGGCTCCAACATCGTCTGCGCAAATACGCGTGGTACCGAGCCCTTGGAGGTTCACTAAATGTCTCATCCTCTCCGCGAACGGGTGCGTCGGCGCTGCAGAAACGAACCCGCTGAGCGGGCATCCATGCAAGGAGCCTCCCTGGAAGAAGAAAGCGAACCTGCCGGAAATGAAAGCCATGTTGAGGTGGTAGATGTCCCGGAAGAACTCGAGTTTCCCGTGCGGCATACCGAGTGCTTCAAAGCAGGCCCAGATCCAGCTGTGTTGCAAGCTGGGGGGAGCAGCGGCGATGTCCCAGAAGGCAGGGACAGGCAAGTGGTGCGAATTCGAGGGGTGGCCGTACACTCGGGCGGCGCAGTCGAGGTCGACGATGCTTTTGAGGCTCAACGGCCTGGTGTCTTCGGGCTTCTGGACGATCTCAGCTGAGACGCCTGCCTGAGAGCCCTTTTTCCCAATCAGTGCTTGCACTGAAGGGGTCTTAGCGGATACTGAAAGATTGGACGAAAGCGCCGGGCCGATTTCGGTAGCTGGCTGGGCTCCAGGGTTACCGGTTCAGGGTTCCCGGGCTCTCGGTTGCTTGCTCTCGGCCAATTTCCAGATCCCACGATCGCGCTCACCATCGATCTCATGATCGATCTCACTATCCACCTCACCCAATCGATCTCACCATCGACTGCCAATTTATTTCGACCATTATTATTTGATGATTTTTCCCTGGTGTCACGGGAGGAAGATGGACTCGGACATGTTGAAGGCGAGCGGCATCGGGCAAAACGGGTGAACATGTGGAGCGTGCCATGGAGCGGCGTCTCCGCGCCCCAGTCGCCTGCGTGTGCTTCCGGAGAGGAGCAGGCGAGGCTCTCGGGCCCAGGGCTCGCATCCGCCGCGCGCCTCGATGAAACTCTCGATCGAGGTGGGCGAAGGGCGCCGGCACCGAGCTCCCATCGAGGGGCACGGCCCAGCTCTGCAGGAGCGCTGCAGTGACGGAGCCGCGGGTGCGCTGCTCTTCCGAAGCGTGGGGGGCCCAGGCGGTGGCCAACGGCTTGGCCTGGTCCTGCCGGTGGCGGGCCAGGATCGGGACAAGGAGGGCCTGCAGGACGAGCTTCTTACCTGACGTGAGGTGCACAGTGGGCCTGTATCAGAAGGATGGGCGACAAGGATGCAGGGGTCTTGGAAGGCCATGTCGGCGCTTTTCAAGCGGGGCGCGGCCAACGAAAGTGGCCAAGGATGGACCGAGAAGGCAAGGATGCAAGGGTACCCTTGGGAAGGTTGCCCATCATGCGGGTTGGCTGTAGCTTGGCGATGCTCCTGATGACGCGTGCCTGGGAGATGAGTTTCTTGGCGATTGTCGGGGAAAAGCGCTCCGCGGCGTCTTGCTCAAGACGGTAGGCTCCGGCGGCAACATCGGCGGGGGCGATCTCGTCGCAGGTGTCCGCTAAGCCTCGGGGATCACGCAGGGTGACCAGACCCCCGTCAACAGAGACAAAGACGCAGGGTGACCAGACCCCCTTGCGCGATCGCAGTCGTCTTGCCGAACAACTCGTGAAAGAGAGGCCACAGCGAGTAAGTAACCTGCGCGAAATCGGTGTTCGCAGTGGTCGTCAAGATCATATTGCACACGATGCGGCCCGTCTCCAGGATGCTTCCTTGCGTATCTCCCACCGGGTGACCGTGAACAGGACAGACAAATTGACGTTTACACACATGTGATTATGAATTTCGCGAAACCGTGGATGAAGAGCCACGTCTGGGGGCAAGAACTTGGCGGTGAGCTGGCCGCGCGGGCCTCGGGGCATGATCACTGACTTTTTGGAGGCGCAGTCGCAGCAGGTCATCGAGCACCGTGGCCGCGAGCTGCACGAAGCCAATGGCCCAGAAGGGGATCGAACTGCAGATGCGGTCCAGGCGGGCGTACTTGCCATTAGAGTAGTGCGTGGCTTCGCGTGCATCGCAGGTTGTGCATAGATCAAGGAGGTGCGTCCGACTAGATGTGTGCTGCGAGGATCTGTGACGCTTCGGAGCGAGTGGGTCCTGGACAACTTGTGCACGCTCGTCTGCGTCGAGAAAGTTCGAGCCGCCGAGGAGGCAGACGGACTTGGAGAGAGGGTCGGCCTTGGCACGAAATATTTTGGAGATTGCGAGTTTGTGTTGATGTTAGCGAAGTCGTGTTCGCTGATGCTGTAGCTGTGTACGGTCTAGGCGGTCCAGCTGAAACTGCCCGCGTTCACAGCGATGCGAACGACCCTCCTTGCTACGAGTATGTCACACTCGGGAGAGGCTCCGGCTAATGTCCAAGATTTCCTAACCATGGCGGTTATACCTCCAGCGCTGCGCGACCCGACGGCGCCTGTGATCCACCACTCGCGCGCCACATCAGGGAGCAGCGAACGGAAGGCCTCCACGTTGCAGTGGGCTTCGGCAATGAATTTGGCGGTGTTCGTCTTAAGGAGCCGCTGGAGGTAGACGATGTTGTCTGTACGCTGGAGGCGGTTGTCGGCGTAGAAGCCCTGTGCGCTGCAAAACGCAAAGGCGACTCAAGTGGAACACACCCCAGCAGCGTCACCAAATCTGTCACCCGTGCCACGTGATGTCAGCGTTGGGACCCTTCCCGTACACGAACATATTTCGGAGAACCACGTCCTTGTAGATGATGATGGTGATGATTATGACGATGATGCTGATGATGATAATGATGTTGCTAATGATGATGATTGGTGATGGTGATGATGATGAGGATGATGATGAGGATGACGATGATGCAAACGATGATGGTGATGATGAGTGTGATGAAGATGATACTGATGATGATGATACTTAGGACGATGATGACGATGACTATGAGGATGCTGCTGATTGTGATGATGATGATGACGATGATGGAGACGATGACGATGACGATGATGATGATGATAGTACTGATGGCGATGATGATGATGGTGATGATGACGATATAATTATGCTGACTATCACGCCTACGCGAGCCCGGATGCCATGACGTTCTGCGACGTGATGATGATGACGATGACGATGACGGTGATGGTGATGGTGATGGTGATGGTGATGATGATGATGATGATGATGATGATGATGATGATGATGATGCTAGTGATGATGATGCTGATGATGATGATAACGACGACGACCCTTACTGGATAGAGCAAGGGGGAGGTGAAGGTGCAGGAGGATTCTGAAAATCACGATGACGAACAGAACGATGAGGATGAATACCATCATGAGGCCGGTCATGATGATGGGTATATAATGATTGTGCTGATGAGTTTGATGCTGATGATGATAATGAGGATGCTGATGATGGCGAAGACGTCGAATGGAAGTAACAAGACGATGATGTGTAGGTGCAGGAGAAAGATGACAGCAACGATGGCGAACAACTTGATGATGAGGAACACAATCATGCGGCCAGTCATCAGAATGACGGTTATGGTGAGCATGATGCTGGCGATGATCGTGGTGATGATGTTGAGTGGTGGTGGTGGTGGTGAGGAGGAGGAGGAGTAGAAACAGGAGGAGCAGGAGGAGTAGGAGAAGGAGACAGGATAGTGAGGAGGAAGCTGGAAGCAGGGAGGGGGGCGGAAAAAGAGGAGGGGGACGTCGGCGACGACAAGGGGAAGCAGGACGAAGAGCGCCCCCTCTGACGCTCCGAGCCTCCGGTCGCGCGGCTGGCTCAAGAAGGGAGCAGCCCCCCCTCCCCTTCGCCCCCCGAATCTGAGGGGGAACGAGAGGAGGGGACTGGCTCAGGTCGGGGGGAGCTCAGGGTGCCCCTGGCCCAAGGTGCCCCCAGCGTTTCGCTCCATTCTGGAGACCCCGGGGCCCTTTGGGCCCCGTGAGAGGTGCTCCATGGAGGCCGTGGGGGCCTCATTGGAAGTCCTGGGGGGCACCTCGCGCCGGGGCCACTTCCAGCAACACCCGACCAGGGGGCATCGACCCAAAACCGGCGAGGCGCCGCCGAGCCGTGTTCGCCCGCCGCCTGTGCGCAGCAGCGCCTCCCCCAGGCCCCGAAGCGCCGAGGCCGTGAGGGGGCTCTCGACGCCGCAGGTGACCTCTCGGGGGCCCCGGCGGCGTGCAGAGCGTCTGCTCCTCCTCCATCCTCCTCCATCCTCCTCCATCCTGCTCCATCCTCCTCCTGCTCCCCCCGCCCTCCTCCTCCTCCTCCTCCTCCTGTTTCTCCTCGTTTTCTTGTTCCTCTGATTCCTCCTCCTTCATTCGCATCATCCTCATCATCACCGTCGTCATCAGCGCCACCACCACCACCACAATCACGATCACCATCACCATCATGATCAGCATCAGCATCAGCATCAGCATCAGCATCAGCATCATCACCATCATCATCATCATCATCATCATCATCATCATCATCATCATCATCATCATCATCATCATCGTCATCATCATCATCATCATCGTCACCATCATCGTCCTCATCAAAATCATCATCAACATCATCATGATCATGATCATGATCATCATCATCATCATCATCATCATAACCAGCATCATCATGATGAAGACCATCATCATCAGCATCATCATCATCACTGTAATCGCAATCATCGTTGTCGTCGCCAGCATCGCCACCACCTTCACCAACACCATCATCATCATCATCATCATCATCATCAGCATCAGCATCAGCATCAGCATCATCATCACCATCATCATGTTCATATTCATATTCAGCATCATCAGCATCAGCATCAGCATCATCATCATCAGCAGCATCAGCATCATCAGAATCAGCATCATCATCAGCAGCATCAGCATCATCACCATCATTATCACCATCATCAAATCATCCTCCTCCTCCTGCTCTCCTCCTGCTAAGTGCTAGTGATGCTTGACTGTGCCCCCCGAAGAGATCGCCCTCGTCGCTGCAGCCGAACGCGGCCCGAAGAGACCGGCCAGGATTAACCCAGGGAGGCACCTGGGGAGACGTTCAGATTTGAGCGGATTTGGGCTGTGGGAGGGCAAGAGGGGTCGTGCGAAATCGGCTGACGTTCGTTAAAATAGGCTCACTGCCAATGGGCATGACCCGCGGGTGAAATCTTTTGTTTTCCGGTGCTCACGTTGTTTCCCTCGGGGCGGGCCCCTTGTCTGATTTCTGGCCCCGTCGGTGCCACCCTCGGGGCGGTTCTGGACCTCTCACACGCCTGAGTGCCAATGACCTCTGCCCTGATTGTGTGGACCCGCCCCTGGCTGTGGGGGGCGTTTGTGGACACCCCGGGGCTGCTGACTGCCATCCGTCCCACACCCTGGAGGTCGTCCAGTGCCATTCTCTTTCGTACCGTGTGCGGGGCCATCTGTGTCGAGCATGCCCACAAGCTCCTTGTGCAGTGTGCAGGCCCTCGACAAAGGCGGGCAAGGATGTCATCTCCCGAATTAGCGAGGAGGGGCGAAACGACGAGGAAGGCATCGAGGATCGATGATCGAGGGTGAACGTTTCTGAAGTTGTTTTTCACCTTTTTGGGGCCTCCCCTCAGGGGCCCTCGAGAGACCTCCGCGGAGACCCCGAGAGACCTCTGGAGCGCCCTGGAGACCCCAAGACCTGTAGGGAGGGAGGGAAGAGGAGGAAGAGGATGACGATGATAAGGAGGAGGAGGAGGAAGGGGAAGAAGAGAGACTCATTGATTGATTGAACAGCGCCTGGAGAGGCCGGGGCGTGACGTCACCGGATAAGTATACTCGGCCAGGGGATAACGAATATACGACAACAAACGAAAGAGGAAACCAGAAGGAACAGGAAAGAAGGATGAGGAAGAAAAACAAAAAAGGACGCGTGTAGGGCTCTCGAGGCCGCGCGCAACCTCGAACAGGACCACGTTCTCACGCTCGATCTCCACGGCCTCCTCGTCCATCTCCTTGCGCTTGGCCTCGCTGCCCTCGAGCTTAGACAGCTTCATGAGAATCTTCGCGATGGACATGCCGGCTTTCGCGACCAGGGAGGACGGCTTCCCGTCGGCACGCTGGCGGAACAGCTGCTGGGCCTCCCTGGTGGCGATCAGAGCCTTCGTCGTCGTCGGCGGCCTCATCGTCGACGTCACCGTCGCCACCGCCAGCCTTGACGTCGTCGTCGCAGCAAGGTATCGATGTCGATGTTGTGGCCACCGCCGTCGTCGACGACGTCTTCGTCGAGGCCTTTTCCAAGTGGCCAAGGCGCTCCTCGATGAGACCCAGGCCGAGCAAGACGCCTGCGCGATCTCCGGTCTTCTTGCCCCGCTTTTCCTCCTCGTCGTTGCAAACGAGGGCCTTCCTAAAATACCTGGACGCCTCGTCGTAGTTCCCGATCGAGCTGTACGAGTGGCCGATGTTCTCGCAGAGCGCGGCGCTTGAGCCCACCAGTTCCTCGATCTCGTGAAACAGCTCGATGGCTTGTTCGAATTTGCTCTGCTTCCAAACTGTGAACGCTAATGCTTGCACCCCCTGGATGTGCCAATTGCCACCGCGACGGCGACAGATCGGAACGATATCCTCAAGAGCGTCTTTGCACTTGTTCAAGCGGTACAGCTGTATCCACATGTCAAACAGTTTGAAAAACGTTTTCAATGTAGTCTCATGGTCCAGCCCGAATTGGCCCTTGTGCTCCTCGAAAAGCTTCTCCAACCGCCTCTCCTGTCAATGGCTGTCGCATTTGGAACGAAACTGCGAAGGACCTCCAGAGACCAGAGACACTGGGTAGATAGAAGGCAGTATCTTTGGGGCCCCATTGCCCATCGGTATACCCAGGAGGAGAAGGAAGAAATCGAACGCATTCTAAGAGGAGCACAACGGCTGAAGACGAGGATGAGGAGCTAGAACATCCTACACCACGGCACAAGCCGGTCAGAGAACGCCCGGCTCAAGTGCCTGACACCACGGCCACGAAGGACATGTAAAATGGCCAGCGGGCACTGGCGCACAGAACTGCGGGCCCGAGGTCTCACTTGCACCCTCCACCAGCCGGGTCCGGCGTCCCCCTCCCCCCTCCCCTCCACCTCCCCTGTCTACCCCCCTCTACCCCTCCCCAGACCCCCGACGTCATGAGTTTCTCGTCACTTCGACCCCCAAAGGTCTGGAACCATTCCCAGGGACCGGTTTTGCATCCCGAGTCCTTTTGTGACGGTCCCGGCGGACTGGTGAGGGCCCCAGGAGGCCGAAGATGGCGACAAACCTCCCGCCGTGATTTCTCTTCTGGCCCGAGGGGTTCTGGGTCCTCCGACGCCTCCTCCGACGCCTCCTCCGCCCGCCTCCCTTCCGCGGCACCCCGTCCTCGATCTCCTGCAGCTCCGCGATCTCCTCGATCTGCGCATCCTCGCCCTCGCAGGCCGCGGGAGCGCCGGCGCCCGCGGCGGGCGCGGGGGCCGCCGCGGGGCTGGAGGCCTCGTCGATCGGAGGGGGACGAACAGGGCGCGGGGGCAGAAGGGAGGTGCCTGGGCGCGAGTTACAGCGGAGGAGGCCCGACCACAAGACACCTTCCACGGGAAACCCAACCCTGAGGCCCCAGGACGTCCACTGACTTTTGATGTGGGAACGTCACGCCTTCCAAGGCAGAACCATCGAAACTCAAGAAGCCCAGGGGACTCTGGAGGCAAGCAGGGTGTTACTTGGCATGGGTTTCCACTGGAATAGGGGGCGATGAAATGAACGTTTTCGGAAACCTGGAAACCTAAAACCGTTTTCATCTCCTGGGGGCACATCTTTTACTTCCGCCGCCTTCCGCCGAGCTTCCACCTGCTTCCGCCGGCGAAAGCGGCCTTGCTTTGCTTCCGCCGACCTTCCGCCGAGGAAGAGATGAGAATTCCTTCGATCCTCGAAGGCAAGGCCCTTTCGGAAACGCCTCGAGTCGGGGGGGGGAAGAAAGGTGCCCCTCTTGGGCCCGAAAGGCCCACCTCTGGGCCAGGAAGGACCCCTACGGGGGGCCCTGAAGGGCCCCTCATGAAACCCAACGCTGAGACCCCAGGACGTCCACTGATTTTTGGTGTGGGAACGCCACGCTCTCCACAGCAGAACCGTCGACATCCGAGAAACAACTTGGGGCACCCTGGAGGCCAGCGAGGCGTTTCTTGGCACGCGTTTCCGCTGTACTCGGTTTCAGCATAGAAGGCGATCGCCATCCGATGGGCAGCTGCTGGAAACCAACACAAGACGGCACGTGCGCCACGCCTGCCGCCTGTGCCACGCCCACCACGTGCGCCGTGGTGCTCAGAAGCGCCAGGGGCGGCTGGTGTGCCATGTGCGCCACGTGCGCCAGGTGTGCCACGTGCTCCAGGCGCGCCAGGGTCGCCACGCGCGTAGTGCGCCAGAGCACGAGGCAACATCGAACATCGGGCAAGATGTCGACATCACCGTCATCCTTTCAGGAGCCTCTGACGAGTAGCGGCATGGTTGTTAGGATGGCGCTTGGTACGAAATCTACATAAGCAATCCATCAGTGTTTGGCATGGGAGGTGGGCTAGCGCGCAGCGGAAAGTATGATCCCTGCCCCAGGGCCGCCTACAGAGAACAACGCAAAATTGGTTTGGTTTGACGCTTGCCACCACGTGCACCCTGCATGTGTTTCCGACATAGATGGGGGGGTCATTCACCCTGGTCAGCGGCCACTCGACTGGGGAAGGGGGGTGCTTATCGACGAAGAGCAGTGGCAGGGAGTAAGAGGGGGAGGTATGGGGAAGGCCTCCCCCTCTCTCCTTCCTACCCCAAGGGTGACCCTGGGTAAGGGTGGCCTTTGGTGCGCGCGTTTGGGGGACGGCGACCCACTACGAGCGCGCAGGACGCTACTGCCGCATCGCGCTCGGCGATCGCGGGGCCCCATTGGGCTCGCACCAGAGATCACCCCGGCGAAAGGTCACTCGTACGCGTAGTCGACCTTATCCATCCTTCTCCTGCTCCTCGTACTTCTAGCCTTGGTCTTGGGGTTTCCTCGCTGCCGGGCCTGAGGCACACTAACTGAATGCTGCTAGGTACCCTCGGCCGTGCGGCCGTCTCTCGATGATGACGGGGTGACCGCCGACCAGGTCGAAGCTGTGGGTGCCCGGATGGAATCTTCTGTGGGGCACGGGAGTCGCACCAGGAAGATGGATTTCACGATCTTGGCAGGCACGCAGCATGTTTGTAGGGAGTCGGCTCAGGTTCGCCAGAGGCGGGTGGATGGGAGGGGTGTTCTCGAAGCAGCAGTACACTCGATATTGTATACTAATCGACGTGCAGGAATTTCGAGTCTTCTGGGCCGAGAATATCGGGGCAATCATGTGGGACGGGTTTTGCCAGCCCCTAGGAGCTCTTCAGACGATGTCTAGCGGCGCGGGTACATCACAACCTCGTGGACGTGCGTGTAGGCCCCGAGAATACCCAAACGGTCGCCACGATGACGCACTGGTGGCGAAATTGTCTGGGACAGTTGCCAGCGAGGTGCCTACCTACTGCTTCCGCTGGTTTGAATAATGGACTGCGATGTCGCAAGATCGATGGGAAGTGGGAGTACGAGGGTGAGACGGTGGGGCCAACTAGGACGAGAGAGAGGAGGCGGACCGGTGCGGGGAGAGATGATATCGAATATTCTTGGGCAGCACTATTTGGCGGCAGCTAACACCACCGAGCTGTTTTCAGAAAAAGACGAGTCTGATCGATGTTTGTTCTTACGTCACGGTTGGTGCTCGCGCCTTGATAGATGTCACACATTACGGCGCGTGTGCGCCCAGCTGCAAGCTCAGAACGGACGCCCCCTCGTGATCATGTCCCACTTTACCTCGGACTCCTACACCCCAAGGGCCCTCATTAATGTTCAGCGGCATCCAAAGTGAAGTGGAACATGTCCTCTCCCACGACTGTAGCCAAGACGGGCACGCAGCGTATCGATTTCGTGGAGAGAGTGGATCAGTAGCTCAGGGAAGACGGAGGGGGACAGGATTCGCGTGCATGATCAGGACGTTCCAGATCACTCGCTCGAGTTCCTCGAACAATGCCTGGTCGAATGGGGCTCGGAATTTTTCTGTGCGAATGCGTCCATGCCCCATGCTTACTCCCATTGACTTCAGTTGCACCGTGACCTTATTCAGAAATGAATGGAGGGCCAAGCCCCTCGCCAGCATGTTGAGGCGTGGAGGCCGAACCCAAGACTCTTTCACAGCGCTTACGACTGCGCCGCCAAAGGCATTATCGAGCAGAGCGGGGTTCCTTCGTGCAGGCATCTACTGAAGCGTGGGACCGACACAATTTTTCAGAAACCATGGGTTGGGCGACGAGAACTGCGCGATCTCGCTTCCCGTCTAGGAAACGTGATGGGCGGCGGTTCGGGATTTCACCACTTTCGAAACAAGAACGGCGTATTGTTTGGCAACGCTTTGGGGGGGTATGAATGTGACTCCGACCGATGCCGGCCAATGTCGATATCAACGAGACGACCTCGACCCCGCTCAGACCGACGGCATCGCTCGCTACGACCCCCGATGTAAGGAGCTGGCGTTGGATGGTATAAACGGACCTCGCAAATACGTTCGGCGAACCACGGCGCGTCGAGTCGTCCTAGACGGTACGGCCCAGGTGGAGCTCTGGCGGCACTTGCCACATGATGGGGCAGGCATGGAGTGTCAACGCGCTGGCCTCGGCACCCAGCAAGTGACAGCAGAACCCGCTTTGTCTCGAAGTTCTTCTGGGTGTCATGCTGAATGCACGTATCACAAATCTGGCACCATACTATAGGAGTAGGAGTCGTGGGCGTGCTCTCCACAAGTCGGCCCTGCCTGGGCCCAAGGGTAACAAGGTCGGTGACATCCCACATCCTCCCCGTAGTCGGCAAGTCGTTCTTTTCCGACCTCCTCCCCAGCGGGCTCCCCACAGAGGATTAGGGGTTCTAGATGCATCGCCGTCGTGGGGGGGCCATCGTGGCGTCACAGGTAGTAGGGTGGAGACCGAGACAGACGGGGTAGAGCTACGGGGCCACTCTCAAGGATATGAGGAGAAATGCCTTCGGCAGCACTTCCTGGACTCCGATGGATACTGCGATGCCTTCAACGGTTTCTTGTGAGATATTGCGGCTCTGTAAACATAGCTATCGTGACGCCAACGTCTTACTACCCAGTGACAAAGGGGACGGGGCAATCAAAACACGGGTGGGAGGTGCGAGGGGGGGTCCGTTTGTGGCGGTCGCCTCGTCGACTGCATTTCAACGACCAATGCAGCAATGGACGGAACCCGCGCGTGGAACTGGATCCTTCTCTGACTCTTCTACGCGCCGAATGGACATGCCAAGAGGTCGGCCTCAGCCTGTTTACATACACGGACGACGTCTGCCGCTACACCCTTGTCGCCCTGGGGGGGGGGGCACGGGCCTCGTCCTCGTCACGCTTCGCCAGGCTGATGCTTTGCTCGGCTCGCACCTCCAGGAATGCGGGTACCAACAGAGCCGAGGCAAGCAGGAGCTAGCAGCATGGTTGGATGGGGGAAGGGCTACGGCGCGTCGGACATGGCTTCGTGGGCCTGGGCAGTATCTTCCCTTTCCGGCCAGACTTCCGTAGTTCAAGTGCCAGAAACTTGAGCAACAT